CTAATGTGCGATCATTAATGCTATTACCTCGATGGTATCAGGAAGAGGAAGACCTTCAAAGACTTGAAGAGGCTCTCGAAGCTGAAGGATCTGACACGGGTCATTGGGCAAAGGAACAGTCCAAGAGGGCGGATTCGAAATCCCTACTGATGCAAATCCTTGTCCTGTTCTATTCTCCCACATTAGCGGTTGTAAAGTTGAAGGTCCATCACTTATGATTTGATGTTGTACCTATGAAAGAAATTCACCAAGAATCAGTTCTCGACATAATAACTTCTAAGACGATGCAAAAAAAAAAAAGTCGAAAGTTTCCATCTTTTTAGCATTTACCCTGGGGACATTTTCAACTGTGTAAGACACAAATCTGGGCTCTGCGAAATTGGGAGGCTCAAGAACAGCATATGCGCCTTCATTTTCGTAGTTTCTTGAACCCTACAACGCAAAAACAAGAAAAGAACCAGTCAAGAAAACAAACGGAACACGTAGGATTCGGATTCCGTTTGTTGTAAGAGTGCCAAGGGAAATGACCTGTGAGAACATTGAAGCACTGAAGATTGTGCAAAGCTTTCCAGATTCTACATCATGATCTACAGAGTAACCGCTTAGCATGTTTCCCATGTCTTCTCGATCTGCTCTTGCATCGGGGCCTTCATGTGATCTTATAATCATCTAAGATGGAAAACAAACTGATTTAACTTTCATTTTGGATTAGCAGTTTTTGCCCAAAGTACTAAACTTACCTTTAAGTTTGACTGTTTTAGAAAAGTCTCAGTGCAATCAGCTCCCCAAAGAAGTCCCTTGTAATTGCTTTCGCTCAAACCATCAGCCATCCATGGACATGACCATAAAACATGGTTAAGAGTTACATTCTCATCATCATTCTCACCAACTTTTCTCCTCTCAATCTCGTCAAGTTCCTCTAACGAACCCAACAACAGAGAGGGATTCGTGCTATCTTCTTGGACCCCAGAACTTTGAAAGAGACCTCCATGAGTTGTGTAGACACTGTCTGATATCACCGATGCCAAAGGTAACATTATGAAACAATCTATACACTTGGAGTATAGCATTGGCCCGTGCTCAGCGTATCTGTCACATGTTTCTTTCAAGAAATCAAGCTCTTCTGCCGAAACTCTTGTTTCAGAGCTTCCTCGAAGTAAAATTACACTCTCAGGCATCAGAATCTGTAGTAAGAAATAACAAATATAGATTAGATGGGAACAATATATCATGAATTAAGGCGGTGAAGCAAATTGAAGGAAATAAAAATATATCTAAGGCCTTAAATCTAATCCTTTCATGTTATTATTAAGCAAAATCATGTTGGTTTTTCTATTTTTGATTTACGGAAAACAAATCCGATGCCTTAACATTAACAATTGAGACTCAACCTTAAGGCCAATGCTTAAGCACGATAAAGTTTCTTCACAATCTAAAAGAAAACAACGAACAGGCTACAAGTTAACGTTCCATCACAAACAATCTAATAAAAAAACGGAAACAAGTAATGGAACTATATATGTACCTTCCAAGCTAAGAGAATCAAGAACACTTCTAGGCTCCAAGAACCTCGACCTATGTAATTACCGTTGAACACAAAACGTTGGTTCAGTGAAGGCCTTCCTGATTGATCAAAGATTTTGAGAAGATCGTGTAGTTGACCATGGAGATCTCCAACCACAATCACTCTGGAATTCTCACTACAGCAATTGACTCTAACGCAATTGGCTTCTTTGTCTAGAATCTGCGAAGCAAAATCAACCAGAGAAAAAGCAACAGAATGTGGCAATATCAAAGGCAACTCGGAAACCGAGTTCTTCCATGTGAATTGGTTTAATAAACCCATCAAAGTCTCAACCCATTCAAGAGTTAGTTGAGACTGCAAAGGCCATGAAATTGGCTCCAAAACAATGTCATCGAAGTCCCCGCCAACAGAATCATCCCCATTTCCCAAATATATCTCCATTTCCATTGGCTCGGTCATGTCATCCAGCTGATCAATAGTTTCCGGTTCGTATTTTCTACTACCCATTCCTTGTACACTTGCAATCATCCTCGTCACATGTTGCTTCTCTTGATCATCCAATGTCTCATAGTGAAACCCACGAAGAGACTTCAGAGAACGGTCTGCGTTACTAACCTGCACAAAAACTCCAAATTTCTCAACTTCAGAACTTTTAGTCGATTTAATCTAGAAGCATAAAGATGTGCACTTACCACTTGCTTTAGAACCGAACACAGAATTCGGGTTACACTATTCTCCGGATCCTGAACCAAAAAACGTAACTTTGGTGATAAGCAAATAGAGGAGATATATATACTAAGCTCAAACTAAGATGGAGACTGAATTTAGATTCAACGTTACTTTAAGAAAGTCTCGATCAGCACCACGTCGAGAAATTTCTTTCAACATAAGCAAAGTACGCAATTGCTTATAGTTCTTCATTCTCGTCGTTTTAACAGCACTTAGCCTCAAGAACGCGAATTTGCAAGCTTCAAGCTTTGCGTCTAAAACCCTTTTCGAGATTTCTACACAAAAAAAACCCATCAAATGTTACTATTCCGATTACATTACTGGTTTTTTTGCTCGGAAAAGAGAGAAAGTTTTCATTGGGATTATGCCCAAATCAATTGACTGGGAAAAAAAAATCTCCATCGAAGAAACCGTTACCTGGAGACGGCATATCGATTAAATTTCTCGGTGAGATTGACGAAGAACGGAAAAAACCACAGTCCGGCGAGGTCGTCGGTGTAGTCCCGGCGTCGATAGTCGATTACAACCGCCGCTCCTCCACCGAGAAACGAGCGTTTTCGTGTTAACTTCTTGCCGGTTCTAGGGCAAAGAAACCACGCGCATTTCGCTGCTTAGAAAGCGAAAAGGATGTTGTTTTCTATTAATCATGGGCCCTAAAGCCCATATTTTGAAGGCGTTTTCAAGGCCCAAAATAAGAAACACAGTCTCTCTCTCTCTCTCGAGTGAGAGATGTTTCGATTGACCAAAACCAGTGAATTTGTTCTTCTGATAACAATGGCGAAAGAGGAGGCATGAGAAGAAGCGGAAATGGCGGGAGCGATTAGGGCGAAGCAGCTATTTGTATGCTCGTCGATTCTCGCGAGCAACAGCTACAAGAAGCTCCTATTGCGTTTTCCTCGGCGTAGTATCAATGTAATCGCCGGAAATCTCGGTTCGAGCG